TGCCTTAAAATATGTTCAGTATACTGTATGATTAATGCTGCAAATGTGTTGCTGAATTACCAGAAAAAATAATATAACAGTTTTTCTCCTTATCTAATTATATACTCATAGAATGTATCTGCACAACTTGCATCCTTTTTATCTACTTCAGCCATGTCAAACTGAGATACAGCACAGTATAAAGTAAGATGAATGAAATAAACAGTCAAGGGCTGTATGGAGCTATCTGCACACACAGTGGAAATTAATAATATCTGTCTATGTGAGAAAGTGAGGGTGACAGTGAGTCCAAGATGTATAATTGAGCATGTGGTGGGTCTCTGTTCACTCCTGCCATCAGTAATTCCATCAGGAAAGCAGGACGTCCAGTGGGGCATCTCCCCAAAAGAAGAATGACAGCTGACAGGAATACAAGTTTTGGTTGTGTTTCCAGTGCATTCCCATTTTGAGTTTTTTGCATATGTGGGCTAATTTCCTTGTTTTATCTAATTTTCATTAATAATGAAATACCATCTCATTACCAGTTTTGGTGTTATAGGCAGAAAGTATTGCAGTTATCTAAAATAAAAGAAGTAAACTTCAGGTTTTTTGTCAGTCCAAAGAGTCAGAGCAGTCATTCAGGGAGAAATCCATCATTAAACAACTTGTATTTATTCCTACATTGGCAGTCATTTTAATAATGCAACAATGCAGTGAAGCCTCAGAACACTGTGTATCTAGTGAAAGAGACACATGGCTGTCATCTCTTCTTAGCTAACGTTCGGTTAAGAGAAGAAAACACAGCTGAAGGCAAAATCTTACCTGTTCTCAAAGGATTGTCAAAAGGCATTCTGGGAAATATAGGATGAAGAAACAGAGGAGGCAGTTTGAAGGAAAAGTGGGTAGGCCTACAAAATACACAAAAGAAGTTGCAGAACTTCATCATAACTTCTGAATCTTCTGAAATGCGTTAAGGATAAACTGATGATATAAAACCATACGAGAGCATCTGAGGGAGGATTTTCTGGCACTGAGTGGCCAGTCTGACGATCAGATAATGTAAGTTGGCAATTCCACTCAAGTCCCAAAAGAAATCTCTGCCTCTTTGTCCTGGACCCACTCTTCTTTCTGTCAAATCATTAGTTTCAGTTTGGTGGAATAATACACTTAAAGAAGAGGGGAATACTTCAGATTGTGAGCTTCATAATTAGGCTGATGATACTGGCCTTTTTATCAGCCTGCTCTCTTTGACTGAATATGAATTCATTAACTGCAATAGCAGCACTGTAGATGTACATGTATTGAAGTCAAAGACAAAATATGGGGAAGACTGATTCCTTTTGCTTATTAGCAGTTCTCAATCCAAACAAATTGATTTCGGCATCAACCTTGATAGCGAGATCAATCTCAATTGATCCTTGCATCAACAAGTTAAGAACTTGAATGATATGGGACTTTAATTGTAAGATGTTGATTCTGCACTCTAGAAATGCTATAAACAGCAACTCCCAAGATGCTGTCATGTGGAAAAAAAATATTGACTTTTTTCCATTTGATCTGCAATAATACTGCAGTGTTAACCCACTGGTCCAAAACTAATTTGTGTTCAGTATGAAATATCTTGCAGTGAATAGAATCGGTATGGCCAAAGCCTGTAACAGAAGTTAAGGGAGCTGGGAAGTGAAACTTGGCAGAGTGACTGTTAGGGTAGGATGGAAGAAGAGGGAGAGCCAAGGCCATGCTACTGTTTATAATATGAGACTTATTTTAGTAGCCTCTAAATCTGTTTTGACAGGTAGAACACTCGTGGGTTGACTGGTGCTGTCCCTGATGCCAACCAGAAGTAGATAAGACAAGGATGGCAAAACTCCACAGTGCTCTCTGTCATAAAGCAGCAGTCCTGTATAAGGGTACTCCTTACCAAACCATTTCCGAATCAAAGGTTGATGAAATGACACTTATTTAATGGTGCATTTGTTCATTTTAGATAAAATAAAGACTAACAAATGAAGCACTGACACCTCAGTAAAGCACATTTTATAATTTATATTATGTACTTTATTGTGTATTTGTTTACAGTTTTTGTCTCTATACCATATACTCTATATACAATTACTTATATTCCAGTACAAATTGCTCAAAATAATTTCATTCCTGAAGAAAACAAAACCATATTCATAATTGCTGCTGATTGCAGTCCAAAATATTTTTACATAAGAGCAATTGCACCCTAATATTATATTTGTGTCACATTTAAGTGCTTTTCCATTACAAGTATCACAATACTTCAGATTAAGATGTATTTTCTTGTTGACTATCATTTTGTCAGAAGCTGCTAAATATCAAGTGGGTGGAAATCTCATTTTGGAACAAACAAACTTCACAAACTCTTCATCTGCTGATTGTTATTTTAGTCCTCATGTAGCTCACTCACAGAGGGAAGAAAGCGGCTTCAGAGAAAGGACCCTGCAAGTACCAGATGCCTACTAATTTACGATCTGTGCAGCAGTCATATCAATGGGGTGGCAGGAAATTGAATTAGATGAATTAAAGGAATTTATTTAATCTTGTAAATGTGCTGAGGAAATGTGCGCATCCAATTCTGCTAAGAATAGAGCTGTGTGTGTGTGTGTGTGTGTGTGTGTGTGTGTGTGTGTGTGTGTGTGTGTGTGTGTTGTGCTCATTCACATGTTTGATATCTGCAGAGGGAACAAAATTATCTCCCATCTGCAAGAAGAACATATAATAAGATAGCTTGATCCCTTGTTTTATGCTCTCTCCTTGAGACTGGAGAGGTGGAGAAAAATCTTAATTGAGGCTACAGTAGGTGGTTGGAGACGAGGGGTTGCTGCAGAATAGGAAATTCAGTAGTTTTAATCCACTCATCCACCCAGGCAGTGACAGCAGGATTACAGTAGAGACTTATATAAAAGAAGGCAATTATGAAAGTATATGGCAATACACTGCCCTAAATTCAATTACCCTCTCTGGCACTTTTCAATTTTCTTTCATTAAGTGGATTAAGAAGAAAGACGTGTTCTTCAAGTTTAGAAATGATTAAAAGCCTAAAGGAAGATGAGAGGCAATGGAGGGGAGGCGACTAATTTCTGCTTATAATTAGTCATGGGTGTGTGCTGTAGGAATTCATGTTGGGTAAATTGATTTTGTTTATCATGAGGCAGATGATTGATCCATGTCGGGTCTGCACAGTTGAAAGGTTCGTTAATTGCTTTGCTTGCTTGTTTGTTTGTTTGTTTATTGGGGTTATTTTTTTGTGTGTATTTTTTGCTCACCCATCCCAACGTTTCATGTGTTATGAGTTGCATTTGTCTGTCATTCAACATAAAATGTAAGAGTGCTGTCTTGGAGCTATCGTGGAACAAGTGATTTAACATAAATGCTGGAATCTTGTTGCAAGCATTGCCTTCAACAGGGAACAAAATGTGACAGATGGTCACAAAGTTTCCTGGCAAGAAATTTCCCTCCTAACTCGTGCAACCTTGCTGAGGCAACTGCTTTGTGCAGCACTGACCCAAAGGTTTCCCTTTATATTTTTGCCCCGAGACCCATAACTCAATCAGTGTTTCTTTGTCAAAGACAGCAGAGACTGAATATGTCTCCTATGAATAATGACAACGTTTTCTTCCATGCCATTTTCCCACTGCTATTATTTTTCCCATTTCTCATTCTGTAAAGAATTCTCTAACTCCAGGCTGGGAGCAGAGCCAAGTCTATATAATTTAGTTCCTTTTCACACCACACCAGTTAATCTAAAGCTAAAATTCTAACATTTTATTGTTACGGATGCCAGAGATGTTTTTGTTTAGCAGTCAGGCAGAAACAACCTCTTAATAAGCCCTGGGTAGAACAAAGACGGTCGTTTTTACAGATGTGACAGAGTGACATTTATATGAACTTTTCAGGATTATAAAAAGTCAAATTGATCATTCTATATTTATGATCTCTGTCATCTGAATTCATATCTAATTTGTTGTTCCTGGTGGCTATTTTTGTTGTTCTCTCTTTACTTTTAATATATATAGATTAAATAGCAAAGAGAAGCAACAGTCTTTTTTTTCTTACTGTCCCTCATTTGTTCTCTTCCATCTGTGATGCTCTTTCTGCCTCACATCCGCTCCCATCACTATTTCCTCTCAGCAGAGGTCATCAGCCTATTACTTTTCATTATCTGTCATCATCAAAGCGGATGGATCCACCTGCAGTATTTGGTTTGGGTGCAGTTCTCCTTCACAGGCCTAGTGATTGATCTGATCCTTTGCCTCCTAATGAAAGAGACTACCTTTGTTCTTGCCGGGAGCCCTGCGCTTATCCCATTAAATCACCTTCTACCATCTTTGTCTCTTTTTGTTACCATTAGACACTGGTTTTCTCAAACTATGGGTCAGAACCCAGTGGGGTCTCATATCTACCAGCGGTGGGCAAAACAGGCTGTAGTTTGAGAGTATAACCATATTTTTGAATTCAACATGTTTTTCCAATGATTGTATTTGCACATTATGATATTTTTTTATCATAAGAACTGTATATTTCTAATAAGAACTTATTATGCATCTTTATACAGTAGCAAGTGACCTTTTAGTGCTTTATTGGTACTTTAATTCCATTGCGTATGCATCGCTATAAAATCACTTAATGGCCTATTCCTCTTATATTTGCCCATAATCTTGTAAATTGTACTATATGCTAATGTTCTTTTTTCATGAGGGTTATCAATAACACTGGAAGGTCTAAGCTCTTCAAGTGTTTTGACCTCAAGAATAAGAATATTTCTGCTTGCATAATGTCTCCCCATTCCCTATATAAAAACCCGCGTTTTAAAAACAGACAAGACTGTGAGGACTTTATTCTGCACTGCAATTATTTCACGGAAAACTGTACAACGATGCAAATAAATTATATTTACTATTGTTATACATGCATACAGTAGTCTAGTCCAGCTTGTTGTTAAAGCAGTTGGTCACTACCAACTGTAATACTACCAGTCGCCTGTAGAGTGCGCCGCATTTTCTGCAGAGGACAGTTTATGTCCACAACGGCTTCCCGTCGGCTGCGTACCATCCCGGAAGATTTTGCCTTTCTCCTGACACGTAGCAACCCGAACCAAGTTGGCAGGGCTCTGGGTAGATCTGTCAAACATCACAGGTAGGTGTTGACATGTGCGATGCTTGCATAGCTCGAGAATAGCGGTGATGTAGGAAAGGTTACGTGGATATTGAAGCCACCGCGGTCTCCACAACGCTTAGAGCTAGCAGCAGCTAACGGTAACGTTACGTTAGCCACCTCAAGGGTTGGTAGCTTTCACCGCATTTTGACAAGATTAGTTAACGTATCCTTTTTAGGTGCTTGTGGTCGTTGAATAGTTGGATTGTTTATATCGTTAATAATAATCATAGAGCAACGATATAAACAATGTTATCTTGGTTTTGTCGTGTGTGGGGCTGCGTTAGCTGGCTAGCTGCTTTAGCTCACCGCTAGTTACGCAGAGCAGTAAGTTAAATACTTGGTTCACACGATTATAGGACACAGGGACTTTTCACCTTAGTATCTTGGCCACAGCCCGTAAGTTAACGAGATGTAAGAGGATGCCTAATGTATAACATGATTTCAGCTGTCGATAACGTTATTTTCACAGAGCAGATGTTCAGTGTACTTAAGAAAGTATCCTGTTTATACTGACAGCTGTTGTGCCGCCTCGCTGTAGTCCTGAATAATCATCCTTGCTAATAGGTTGTGGTCCTGTTTCTGCCCTTGTGTTTCTAACAGAGTGAGAGATGTCAGGGTTTGACAATTTCAACACAGACTTTTACCAGTCCAGCTACAGTGTAGATGACCAAAGCCAGGCCGGCTATGGTTATGGCAATGCTGAAAACCCCTACAACAAGTAAGTGAAGAAAGCCATTTTACTCTTATATGTGCCTTTTCAGCATTTTGTTGCAAGGAAGGGAGAATGCTTTCTTTAAAGAAGCATGGGAAAAGTTGTAGGACAAGTGTGCAGTGTTTTTAAAATGCTTTTAAAAAAATGTTAATACTTTTTTTTTAACTGACACAACATCCTCGGGAAGCATTTTTAGTAGCATTGGGCAGTTTAAGAAGTGATGTAATGCCCCTTTCAGTAAAAGAGCACTGTTGAGAATTATTATCATGTGTTTCCCAGGCCATACGGTCAGTACGACTACTCCCAGCCCGTGGGCTACGCCTCCCCAGGGGTGATGCAGCCCCAGCAGCAATACACAGGCCAAATCTTCCAGCCCACACAGACGTACACTCCATCCCCATCACAATCGTTGTATACTAGCAGCTTCGACGACGAGCCGCCACTGCTAGAAGGTAGGTAAACCACAACCTGGAGGCTTCTGCCGGGCTCTTTGGCCTCTATACAGCTCCTCTCACTCTTCTTATAATATTTCTCATTTAGGAGTGCAGGAATATGAAATGGTAACTGACTAGTATGGCACAGTTTACCACAGTCAACAATACACATAGCACATTTCATTATGTGTATCGTGAACTGTGCTAAATTGTTTTGTTAGTTATCAGTTGATTGATATTGATATATTTTTTTAATATTTCATAAAACATTTAAGTCACAGCTGGTCACAGCTTCTCAAAAGTTAGGGTTTGCTTTATGTACTCTGTTTCATATTACTGCAAATTGAATTCCTTTGTTTGCTCAATTAATTTGGAGTAAAGTTGATAAATAATTAATCAGTTCATAAAAATAATTATAAGTTGAACTGTTTTTTTTTGGAAGTTACTTTTACAAGAGCACCAGTTAAGTTCCTAAAACATAAAGTTATGGTGTTCCTGTTGAAATCCGTCTGCAGTATCACTGACATGAACCTAAGATCTGTTCTTAAGGCGTGAAATTAAAGTTTCATTTGCCTGTTGCAGTCGCTAGCAGTCAGAGCTCATGGCTTCACGGATATTTTATTGGAATAGAAAGGAGTAACGGATCAAAGGCTTGCTACCTGACCAAAATTGTCAGACCTGACTTTTCTGAACTTTAGCTTTTTCCTTCTGCTTACATGCATGACAAACCTTTTCATTGGCAGACATCCCAGGAAGTTGCACACAAACCAGCACTGAGGAAACAATACTAATTTGAAGTTACAGTAAATGGTTTTATGGTTGGAGCCAAATTGTCCACTCGGTTTATAGTCATGCTTAGCAGAATATTTTTAGATTCAATACATTGCCTTTTAAGAATAAACCAGTGGTTTTATTCCTGATACCTCAAAAAATGGAGCAGATGGAGTAGATGCTCTAATTGTCTCTAAGTGTGCGTTGTATCAGGTGGAGCTTCACCTGTGAGTGATGTTAAGAGACTATGTCCTTAAATTTGGATAGTATTTTGTTCTCTATACTGTATTTTAAGATTTAGCTACATGCTCATTTAGAGGAAAGGGCTTACAAGTGATATTTCTAAAGAGAGAGAGTGATACTAAGAGTGAATACCAGTAACTGAGACCGAAGGTATTGCATGTAAGTAGCCATTTGTGAAGGGAAATGCTGCTAGTTATTTAGTTGCATGCAGTGAGTGCTGAAATAATTAGTTTATTAATTAATTAAAACTATTTGTAACAGAAAAATAATAGTTACTGTAGCTGTTCCCAGCTTGTCATACGATTGTAGTACATCATCATGAATAGAATAACTTTGGGTGATGATCTGATACTGTTGGTCTGACAAAACAAGCAATTCCAAAAAGGCATTTTGGGCTCTGGAGAATTGTGATCATTGATTATTTTCTGACATTTTGTAGACAAACAATTGATTAGTCATAACCATTATCAACAGATTCATAATAAAAGTTAGAATGAAAGAATTAGTGGCACCCGGTAATACAACTACAAGACATCACCACATCAAATGTCGAATGTAATACACAACCCTTTATTATTCACACCAGCTTGTGCCGATCAGCGTTCATACTGACCAACGACGTGTATATACTAAAGACGTGTGGCACCACACAGCTATGTCTCAGTCTCAGATTAGCAGCAGAGCTCTGGTAAATGTGCCGAGACCATAAAAATGAAAATGCTCAAACTTAATTCACACTCTTTAGAATAAAATTAATTTGACCTAAAAAAAAAAAAAAAAAGGGAAAGACACAGCTCAAGGCTATTCTCAGAAGAAGTCACACTTTTATGAAAGTTTATTATGCAAAGCGCTGACAGAAAAGTCTGAGTATTCCTGGAAGGGAGATGTTTCCCAGGAGCACTGTATCCTATTGCATCTCTGCCTACAATGAATACAACTTGTTTACTTATTTTGTGTCATGTTTTCCCTCCAGCTGCGAATGATCATAGTTGTAGTATCCAACGTGTCTGATGTGTGTTTTCTCTGTCTTAGAATTAGGAATCAACTTTGACCACATCTGGCAGAAGACTCTGACGGTGCTCCATCCAATGAAGGTAGCAGATGGCAGCATCATGAACGAGACAGACCTGGCTGGCCCCATGGTCTTCTGTTTGGCCTTCGGAGCAACACTACTCCTGGTAAATCATTTGGTTAATGTTGGTGAATAATAATAATAATAATAAAAACAGGCAATGACGTCCTTCTTGGACCTTGTGGTGCAAACACATATATCTGTACAGCTGTAATAATGCTTTTTCATATCTATTGTTTGTCTGACTGTGTGGATTGTTGTCCTTACCATTCACAGTCAGGTAAGATCCAGTTTGGCTATGTGTATGGTATCAGCGCCATTGGCTGCCTCGGCATGTACTGCCTTCTCAACCTAATGAGTATGACGGGCGTTTCCTTCGGCTGTGTGGCCAGCGTGCTGGGATACTGCCTCCTCCCGATGATCCTCCTCTCCAGCTTTGGAGTCCTCCTCTCTTTACAGTAAGTATACAGGAAATAGTGAACATAACAAACTTGAACCTATAAAGCAAGCAAACACTTTATTAAAAAGTTGCCTGGTCAGGTGTTAAGTTTTTCAAACGCTAGTAGAATTCATTAGGCTATGACCACTTTACCAGACTGTCTTTTTCCTGCCTTACATCAGGATTGGGGTGGCCTTGCCGCCCATCTTTAACTTTATGGAGACACAAAACCCAATGCCGCCCCCATAGATAGCGCCACTACTTATATTAGTATAGTACAACTTTAAGATATGAGCTCAGCTAAAGTGTGATATTTATGTGTAGGACTATATAACTTTTGTTTGATGTTGGATAGGAGTTTCACAAATAGCTGGACATTTAATAAATCTGTATAAATGCTGCTTTCATACAGGCAGCGGTTAAAATAATTAAAGCTAATTTAATTCTTCCTTTTCGTCCTCTTTAGGGGCATGATGGGAATTATACTAACGGCTGCAATCATTGGCTGGTGTAGTTTGTCAGCCTCAAAGATCTTCATCTCAGCGTTGGCCATGGATGGGCAGCAGCTGTTGGTTGCTTACCCTTGCGCTCTCTTATATGGGGTCTTTGCACTCATCTCTGTCTTCTAAAAAAAGAAATCATTGAGTTACAGTTTAAAATAACTGCCCCCCAGTTTCTGTAATTTCAGTCTAATTAGCATCAGTGTAATTAGTGTAATTATTGTCTAATTGCACCGTTATTACAGAAAAATGGGAGCTCCTGTCCAAAACAGCACCATGTTTTTTTTTTTTTTAAATACGCCTCCACTTCTCGATACATTCCGACTTAAGCATCTGCAGGCTGGAGTGTATTGTCTCACTCATGTCGTCTCTCCACCTTGCTCCCCTCATACATCTTAAAGGAGAGGACTGTCAAATAAACCTGATGAAAAAAGTCCTGTGGACCATGTTGAGCCTCAAATGGCCTAGTACAGTCCTATGATTTTAAGGACATGAAGGGGAAGGAAGTGAGCAACTAGTTCACACAATGAACCGAAGAGACAGTTTAATTTGGACACAGACAGGAAAAGGACCAATAACCAACCCCCAGCTAATCCTGCAGCCCAATTTGGAGCCAGTGGCCAGTGGAAACACCCGTGTATCATGATTTGCAATTGCAAAAGCTGTTGTGAGCCATTTGTGGCGAACACCTAAAGATTCAACAGCTGCAAGACTACAGACAACACCCATTTCCTTCTGCACAAGACTACAGTAGCTCATTCTACTTCTCCACCCAGAAAGAGCAGAGGAAAATGGGAGAGGGGGTCTCCTCCTTTATATCCTCTTTTCTCCTCCAGGATTGAGGAGCCATGATTCTCATCATTTGCTCATCACGTCAGTGATCTGATCTTTGATGTATATCTTCTCGTGTAATGTTTTATTGTATCCTCTTGAAATTCATTTGCGTTTTAATGCTTTTCAAGAAGACAACCGTACAGTTTGCACAAAAGCATTGTCTAATTTTCAAAAACCAAACATTTAGATGACATTTGATTAGATATTGAGAATTATTAGTCTGAGAGATACTGTATATTTATAGGTACAGGCATGTCTCTATAGGTTGTTGCTATCGTTTGCATCCTTTACATTTCTTACATCTTTATTTTAGAATTGACTCACTTTGTATGCTTTGATGTGTCATCTGTTGTTCATGTCTTCTCATGCACATTAAAGTTGTCTTTGAAGGTAATCGGCTTGTGATATGAAAAGGTACATTGTATGGTCAAGCAGATAATTGTAAGAAGTGGTATAACCTCTATTAAAGACTGAACCGGGGATTGCATTTTTACCTTGGACCTATAGTTAGCACTTGTGTGGCAGAAGAAAGGCTGGTGTGCACTTGAAGATGTGGGTGTACGAAGCGTAATGACAGTTTTCAACAACCTGGGGACTATGACAGGATCAAAGAAAGTAGTCTCCATTCTTTGATCCACACCATTGTCATTTTATTGCGTCTAAGAGACCTTCAAGGTTTAAGACAACATCTGTAATTGTATGAAAAGTGAGTGTAGACCTTTCTCTGTGCACACATTTACACCTCCAGTGCTGAAGCTCGGTCAGCTGAGGGCATACAGGTGACACATCACGTGTCACCCATATACACTTACAGTTCTTTAAATCATCAGCTTTAAGTACTCTTAAAAGGCTTTTTACCTCTCACATGTGCGGGTTGGTTATTGTGAGTGAGTGATTTCTTAACTTTCAGCCAAGCAATTCATGGCTACTGTCTTTTTTTTTTTTTTTGGGCTAAATTTTTATTTCGGTTTATCTAGGAGCTATTGACATGCAGCATCTTTATCAGTAAAAATATCACCTTCTTTATATCCTGGCACACAATACAGATGCTACAAATTCACAAGGCACTGTATACTATAACTTCAAAACAAATAGCATGATTCTTCACACCAGGAAATCACAGACCAGACCAGCAATTATTGTAGGAAGTTTGACTTATTTTTTTATCTGGATCAGTGAACCCACAGGTTAGTGGTGTGTGGAGGAGACTGGTCAGCATACAATACTGCCACAGTGATTGACTTGACTAAGTAAAGCTCTATAATGCAAGAACCCGCATAGTCTAAACAGAGGGCTGACAAGAAGAAATATTGAGTTTTATGGTTAGAACACGAGCCTCTATTTTTTCTTCTCCCTTCTGGGTTTTCTTTACACTAACATACACAAAACACATACGGGGGGGGGGTCTCCTTAAATGGTCGATAACCCACTTAGGAGGAATGAATAATGCAAAAATGAAAATAGAGTGCTTTTTCTATTCCAACAAACTCAACATCAAGGAGATACTTTGCATTTCAAGCAAACCCAACTGGAGCAGTCTGCTCTCACAGGCTGCTGTCTCACATGGCCAAGTGTTTATTTATGCATCTTCTGTTTGTATAGTCTGTTTTGTATGTCCATTTAAAACAAAGGTAAAAAATCAACCTGTATTTTAGTGTCAATTACATTCTTGTTTTATGTATGGAAGTGTTCACTTTCATGGGGGTCGATTTGGTTTCTCTCTAAATAAAACATTGCTTGTATATGTCATGAATTAATTTTGCAGCTAATTCCATGCGCACACACACACACTGCAGTGAGTGGAGTGCTTCAAATTATTCTGCAGTTCTGCGTCTCGTCAGCTCTGGGGATCTCAGAAACAGTTGAAGGCATTGTGAGTAGGATAGAAGTTGAGCAGGATGTTGACATTCACGCACCATTCGTGTATGTACAGTATCCGGTTTCAGCCAGTTTGCTGTCAGGTTTCAGTATCTCGCATCTGGATTCACTCAGGGGCATCTCACATTCTTATATTTTCCCTCTTGGGCCCATAGAAGGAATTCATTTCAAAATTCCACCTTTTTCCTTTCAACTAGTTCTTATTCAAACCTCCTCTCCACCTGATAGTGCTAACCTTGGGGTTGGAATTTTTTTTGTGTAGGTGCTGAAGTGAGAAAACTCTTGCAACGGACATTTGAGATACATTTACTTAATCCATTCCTGTGTTTAGGGAAGAGAGATAGTTGACTCATTCCCTGTGTGTAAAATAGTTTTTGAACTACTGTTGGAACATTTTCAATATTTCATATTTATTTAAAAATTGCATTACACCCTTGCTACTGTTTTTTATATCAGCTGGTTTAGTATTGCGAAAGCCCAAATTCAGGATAAAAGTTACTACTACTGTACCAACAGGATGTGACATTAACATTCAGGATCAGCTTTTCATGTGACAAGAAATAGAAACTTTAATTTGAATTACATTCTATTATGGATATTTGTTTGTTTCTTAAATAAAACACAGTGTGCAAGCAGCAAACCTGTTGACCAGACAAAAGTTTCATGATCCAAGTAAATATAGAGCTTGTTACTCAGATACATTGACATTAAGAGCTGCGTACAGTGTGCTGATGATAATTATTTATCATGCAAACAACCAAAGTCTAGTGCCATGTCTTTGAACCAAAATGTGTAAATTAAAAGCAATAAATATGGATAGGAGGTCTTATTGTGAACGTCTATGCTCTATTTTAGTATTTTATCATTTCATCGGGGCAATATGGTTTCAGAATTTGCTGAATGTGCTGCTGTGAGCCAGGCTTTAGCAGCTGCAGGACCTCTCAGTGTTTTGACAATATTACCACTAAACTTGGGTTATTTGTGTCCCACTAATTGAGTCAAGAGTGCATATCGTTCCATTTATAACAGGTGATGAGTCAGTGATTCTACAGTTGTGTGTGTTTAAAAAAAAAGGGGATGGAATAATAGAAGCTTCAAGCCAGAACCTCAAACTAGCTGACAATTTAGATTGGTCATTCCTTTTCCCATGCAGATTATTTACTGTACTAAAAGTTTAGAAATCGTGACGGGAGCCAGATGGCTGTTGAAATGACAAAATTGGCACCAATACATGTACAAAAGAAGAGTTGTGTCTTCCTGTTTTTTGTTACCTCCTGGAACATTTACACCCAAGTTCCTCCAGATGACAGTGTTGAGTTACATATATACTGCCCTCTCGGCTGACTGAATATCGTCTTTGCTGTGTTCATTGGCTACAGCCTGACATTTCCCCTGGAGCAATGACTACATCCCCACATCATTTTCTAAAACTTCCTTACAGTCATAATCAGGAAATGTATGGCTCACTCTGGACTAGATCAGCATCTACGAGCAACTTTAGCCTGACCCACCCAGCTTGCTACTCAGACTGTTTTATGGGTTGTTTGTTTACACATTTGTTTGGTTGACTCTTTTTTTTTTTTTTTAGGTTGCTAAGTCTGAGGCCAACTGCTCATGTTACGTAACATTGGAACATGCCATTAAGTAGACACATTTATTTAAGTCAAGTATCCTGAATACACATATTGTATTTTTACCATGGGTGGGCCCTGAGAAATCCACTCAGTCCCTAATTTTGTCCCTGTAAACACTCACTGCAAAATATAAGACTCTTACTAAACAGAAATGATCTTTGGTAGAACATTTAAGTGAGATGAATGGGGAAATAAGTACTGCTGAATCATATAAACAACAACTTTTATGGCCTGGAAAGAAAGTTATTAATATTAGTCATCACTGGAATAGATATGATATCTTGTTACCATACTCCTCCTGTGACCACTGTTCCTCCCTTCACTACTTCATAATTCTGCTGCTATTAACAATGAAACCAATCATAAAAATCATACTCATCATCTCCAAAAGCTGTTTTAGGAAAAGCTGACTAGTTGACTGGTCTGTGTGTCTCTTTGGAATAAGGGCCACCTTACCATTATATTATCTAACGGAAGATAATCTCACCTCCATCTGGCTGGCCTGAGCCACAGTCTGTTCTGCACCGCAAGCTGGCCCGGCTGACTGGTTGGGTACCAGCTAATGATGAAACCGTCTCCTGCTCTGCTAGAAAGAAATTCACAGAGAGAGACAAGCTGTAGGGATGTAGGGGGGGGGGGGAGGGAAACAGGTGGGAGTTGTGCTAAAGACAAAAAAATAAATAAAAACATAACCTAAATTTTGAGTTATAAAACAGCATAAAATGAGATTTGCATAGAAACAACATCAGGAAATGTTTTATATAATGTTTTATATAATACATCGAGCTGAATATGCACCTTCACAGTGTCTAAAAAAATCACAATATACTGGTGAACTAGGTTTTTCGAGTGGTACTGTTTTGCATTTTCATGTCATACTACAAAGTAATATATATGAATAGATATATATATGTATAAATATATATAGTACTTTGTAGTAGCTGTACCATCCCATTCCCATGGGATCATGTTGATTAAAGCAGAAATGTATTTACTACATTGTTATATGCAAAGCCATGGCTCATTTTACATAAATAATGAGTTTTAAAATATGTTATTAAAAATGAAAGAATATTAAAGCTGCACTAATCAATATTTGTTAGATGATATTTATAAATGTTTGATATAAAAGAGACATCAAGAGTATTGACAAATCCACAGAGAATTATCTCCCAACCTCGCATTGTCCTGCAGCTATACAGAGCTTTTAGTCTCATTTAGCCCATTGTTTTGGTTTTCTAGCCCTCAAATATCTAGCCCCAAATATTTTACCCCACACAAAATAATAGTGATTTGTATTATAAATACATGTTTTATTGTTTTTTGTTAGAAACACCTGGCGGGCTAAATCAAACCCGTCTGGCGAGCCAACTTCACCTTGCGGGCCCCACTTTGACAAGCCCTGGTTTAGAATAAACACAACTGTTAGCATGAGCTTTTTTCTATGGATAGAAATTCATCAAAAAAAAGAAATACATAGTACCTAACAGTTTTTCTAAATGATTTCTGAGAATTAAAGACACTTACTGAAACCCACTGTGTGTAAGATGCCTAATATTTGTGACTATTTGCGATATGGTAACTCCTTGTGGTTAAGTATTAGCAATTAACATTAAACACATCATCTTAACAAGAGTACATGCACGGTCCACCTCACAGTAAGACATCATCTACTCTATCCTTAAATAGGACTGTGATGTGTCTTGATTCATTTGTAAAAGGTGAGGAGTGTTTATGATTTTAAATAGTGGACAGCAGCAGATGTAGCAGGATAGGATAATAGATGTGGCCTGTGTACGCAATGAGCTCCAAAAAGCCTCACAGCAATGAAGCTGATTAGGATGTTATCTTCACTGAGGGAGCAGACAAGCGACAGGTGGAA